CTTTTTGGTGAAATTTTTTTGACGACTGCACACTAACTGGAGATATATACATAGTTTTACTTAGCCTCGTCTGCATTATATAGTAAATCTTAACATAATTGTTGGAGTGAGAGCTGAGGGGTGGGATTGGAGCATGGTCAACTTGAAAATGAAATGACGGACAGTTCTGTTTCGTTTTTCACTTAGCAACCGCAGAGCCTTATCAAGTAGGTTTTTATATAATCCTTTGTATAGAAATACATTTTTCTATCAAAGCAGTGCCGTCAATCCGCGTATGCGGCTAACAATGCAGGTAAGCAGATTCAAAAGTTCAACAATCGCAGTATTGCAAAGGGACAAAGTTTCAGTTTAAATGTGTACCAATAAATCCAGCCATTTATCTACTTATTATCACATATTTTTGATTTTATTTAGAAATTGAGCCTTTACATTATATTTTTTGAAAGAAGTAGCCCTTAAGCGACTGAGCTTACGGTGCCTGTTGCTGTTCAACCTTCCGAATGCTGAAACCTCAAAGTTCATTAATGTTAATTTTTCTAGCGTAAATAGGATACTGCAAGAGAGAAGTTCATCAAGTACTGGAAAAGGAAGAGTTTCTCCTAAGAGACTTAGAAAAAGTTGATCCATCTAGTGCAGTTTTCTAAGCTAAATTATCGTTGAGCCACGATTATTTTTAATATGAGATATTCTGAGTTTTTGACATCCTTTGAATAATAGTATAGTAGTTAGTATATCGAACAGGCAAACTATAAATTGCTAAATTGCAGATATGGTGTTTGTGGTGACCGAAAACCAGTTTTTTCAAGCTTACATTGTTCCAAATTTCAAATCTTATGTAATTGATATCATTTTCTACTGGTGATTTACATATCTATCTAAATTCGTGTAAAACTTACGTGATCCGTTGCATTCACACACTGTGGATATTTCGCCAGCAGATGTCTAACAGTGTTCGTTTGTCCATGTAGCAAAGCTTTGTGCAGTGGAGTCATGCCTACTTTTAAACACCTGAGGTAAATCTTTGATTCTCGAATAATAAAATGCTATGCGCTAGTAGGCAAGCAAAATGTGTAACTTTGAACGCGATCTATACGACGCTAATAAATACCGAAATAATTTTTTCTACTCATTTTAACTAAAGTTTTTCTCAGAATATATGGTACGTATAAGATATGCATTCTGCTTGCGTTACTTATTTATTACGTCATCGTTACCATAGGTATCTCTTGCTAATGCAAGCTGTTGACGATCGATGAGAGACTTCACTCGTCGGACGTCTCCTTCCTCGACGGCTTTATGGATAGCATCAATCTTCGACTGAAAGACTTAAGACGAGATAAAAATACGTAGATAATTGGAAAATCTAGCGAAGAACAAACAAAAACTTTTCAAAAAACAGTTTGCTCTCAAACCCCAAAATTTTAGGAAGATTTGCAGGTGGAAAGGTATTCTAAAATTGTCAAGCAAACAGTTTTCGTACCTGGTAAACCGTTAAGCCGCGTAGAAATTCCTTGCTAGCTGCATTCACAGCAGTCTTTTCCCTAAAGAATTTCTCTATTTCAGTGTGACATGCGCTTTTTTTGTCTACGTACTTCAATAAATGCCCACGTCCATCGAGTACTAGCTGCTCCAGTTTTGCTAC